TGGAGTTATATCTTGTGGAAATGTGCAGAAAAACCGACTTTCTCTGCTTTTTTCTTTTGATCACTTGCTCTTATCTTTTACACTTAATTGCCAAGGAACTGATAGCTTCCATCCAGCTGTTGTGGCTGTCCCACTGCTATAATTATAACACTATCTGTACTTCATTTTAGTCTCTCCTTATGGTCCTTCCCCAAGATGCTACTAAAGTTATGTAGTTAGTGATTCTTTGAGATAAAAAGAGCCTACTTAATTTCAGAGTGGATTTTTTCATGAAAATACTAGATTTCACCAGTTGCAAATGTTAAACCAATTTGAACATCTTCCAGAGTTGGAGAGACTAAAAGAAGGTGACATTTCTTGCTGGTGCCTATAGTGTGTCTTTCCCAAACTGTTAAAATTGAAAGTTTCACTGTGTAAGTCAAAGCCAGCCACTCATGAGTAATGATCACTTTTTGCCATTAGCAGCTAAAGTCTCTTCCTAAGGTGTTTGGAAAGGTTGCTGTCAGGCATCACAATTTTGAAATGCAATTTATCCATGCAAGTGTATGGAGAGGAAAAATGCACTTTGATTCTGAAGTATTGGGAAGGGTGGGAGGCAGTATTTTCTTTCTCCTTAAGAAAGAAATGGATTTCTTATGCAGTGTTTGGAACATCTGTTTCTGATAACTCTAGTTTGAACCTAGATCTTTATAAAAAGTTCTTTTCCAGGGTTTGTTTTATTCTGTCTTTACTGGAAATAATAATTAAATTAAGGTGTGTTTTTTCAGAATTAAATTAAAAAATACTGGTGTTACTGCACATTAAAAATTAAAAGTTATAATTTGGAAACTCACATCACTTTCACTCTTGTGTAAAGGTTAACATCATATGCAGTTCACTCTGGCAAGTGTTAACCAAACAGGCCACAGCAGTGGTTCAGATTTTCTAGACCAAAATAGGTATTGAATGAATTTAGTGGATCATGCATGATCCATTATGCACTTGACCAATCAGTTTTAATGCTCACCTGTGAAAGTAATTTGATGAGTAGCAAACCTAATAGCTTGTTTTATCTCCCCTTAATCTCCATCCCACTCGCTTAGAGGATGCTCAGGATGCCTCAAAAATACATAATAATGATATAAATAGACCGTTAAATTCTGTTTGAGAAGACACAGAAGATGAGAAACTAAAAGAGGAAGAGAAACACAACATTAATGGAAGTCAAGAACTGAATAATTTTTCTATTGTCTTTTCTACAGAATAAAAAAAAAAAAGACAGGTCTTATTAGTTTTATTTGAAAATAGGATGGGGAAGAGCTGAGAAATGGATCACTCTCAGGCACATTTACGTATTATTGTACGATTTATTATGAGCACTCTGAAAGCCGCATTAGTTCTGGAAATATTCATCTAGAGAGGGCTGTACTTTGTTCTGATTAAACCTGTTCTTTGTTCCTGTTCTGATAAAGGCGTAACTGAACTCTTTAAGTTATTAGTTGTTATTTTGAATGTATTTAATCTTGGTTAGGGCGTGGAGATTTAGTACGCCTTCAAATACTTAAAGTTAGTAGCTAACTTCGGAGTTTTCTCTTTTTCTCTTGCTTCTGAGCAGTAAAGAGGCAGAATGTTATGCAGGTAATTGCACTAGACTGAATGGATTGCCCTGGGATGCTGGAAAAGGTCTAAGTCTATTGCAAGGCAAGATGATTGTGATGAATAGAAAACAGAGAACCTGTCGAGGGATTAAATCAGTTAGTGAATGGAAATGACTCTGATATATGAATGGATGTCTGTATTAGATCAGTTGGTGGAAAACATTGTTATACTCTGGGACAAGGATAAACACTTCAATAAAATACAGGATAGCTGTTTTAGTTGAGTTAAACTATGATTTTCTAGTCAAGCAATCATCTTCCTGGGATGACTGCAGGTTTTCATTTGTGTACTTGCTTTTTGGCTTTACTTGAAGAGAAATACAGTGGTCCTCATCTCTACGGGCAGACAAATTGACATGATATGTACTCTGCAGTAATAACCATACAGTACCTTTAATGTATATGCTAGTACTGCAAATTTGCTACTAAAATAAAAGCATTAAAGACAAAAGTCATTTTTTTAGGCTGCCTTTGTCACAAATAGCTTTAGTTACAATGAAAATTACCAGGTTTAGAATGCTTTTTCTATTTGCATTATTTCTTGATGTAGTTTACCAATCAGTGTAACATAAAATATTCTTGTTTTACAGTTAAACTCTAGTTATTTTCCTTTTCGCTGTAATTTATGGTAGTTGAAAGTTGCTATAGTAGAATTACATTCTATAGCTTGATACAAGACCAATTCAGTTTTCATAAATGATAATGAAAATTGCATGGCATACAAAATATGCCATGCAAAATAGTCAATAATGCAAGAGTATGACAGTTTATACAGTTCCTTGCAGCTGAAATAAACTGTCCTCTGCTAGCATGTCAGTTTGAAAAAAAAAAAAAATCATGCACCTTCTAAAAACTGAAGTCAGTGAGATTTGTTTGAATCTCAGAGTAAAATTTGTCCCTAAGGCAGCAGACATTTTTACAGAAAGACAAACCTCCATGCCTTTATGCTCCTAACGCTGAGGACTTCTGTCAGGTAGGCAAATAAAATGTGAGTCCAATTTCAGTTTTCCTTTGTCCTTCATCCTGCCACAGGAAGATTTTCTTCACCTGTTAGTAACATTACCTCATTGATCAAAATACAGACTCTAGGAAATTGCAGCTTTTTGTATGTCATGTTTATTTACTGTAGTGTGCTGGATCAGCTCTCGTCCCAATGAAATTTCTATCCCTATTTTAATATTTAGTTTATTAAAAAAAAAAGGCTAAAGTGCTTTAAAGTATGTATTAAAAATGTTCACGTGTCTCATTAGATCTGACATTTCTAAATACTTTTAAACCACTTATATTCCACATCCTATGTTCCCCTGTTCTGGGGAAAGGCACACAGCATTCATAAGACCACTGTATAAGATATATCATAAGACAAAATGAAGGAAGACATTTCATAAACTGATGCAATAGCTGCATGAACAGGGACTTCTCTTTATCTCAGGATTCATCTTAGTTGTTTGTATTTGAGGCAGTGATAATCTGTGAGATACTGCAAAGGGGCACGTAGCAGCTGTCCATCAGTGAATGCTGGCTGCTACACTCTTAGGTTACAGTTGTCCCCTTTTTTTGACAGTCTTGGCTGTATTTTGAAGGAAGTATGGAGAAATGGAAATGCTATTACGTTTTGTAATGCTGTTCCATGCTGTAGTGTCCCAGTTTTCCATAAGTACCTGTTTGCTGTTCTTCGCATGTGTATTTTCATCAAGGTTTCTGATATCAGTATTTCATTACAGGCTTCCTGCTGCACAGGAGAACTTGATTCACTGTTATTTGCTGTAGCTTTTATTTTCCTTTTGTTGCGTGGCTGTTTTCACCTTTCACCATCAAGTCAATGAGTTGGGCAGCTTACCACAAGTGATCCTTTTCAAGCTCCCTTTTAGTATCCCCTGTTTATTTTTAGTGCTGCTAGATTAAAGGGTTCTGTAACTATATTTGTTCAGAGGCTGTTTCAGGGATGCTAATTACTTTGATAACAGGTGGGAATTCCCATGGGATTTTTCCAAATGTTATTTCTGTTTCTTGTTTCTTTATGAAAGTAAAAAGTATTGCCTATGGAAATACAGACATTGATCTATAGCTATGGAGAATAGTAAAAAACCTGAACTTTATGTGATTGCCAGTTTCTATACAGCATTTAGTGGAGAACACATTTTCTTTTTGGTATTATTTGGGAGACTGCAATGCAGCAGAACATTATGCTACAGAAAGCTCTATTATGTCATATGAATAGACAGACACGTTGTCAAGAGTTTTTTTTACCCATTTAGATGTATGTGGAAAGTACTTCAAATAACTAAGTAGAACCAGCTAAGGAAGCAGTAGAAATGAATAATAGTGCAGTATAGTAAACATAAAATGGGCTAATTATAGTCTGAAATCAAATATTGTAGATGAATTTCCAAATTTTTAGTGTGCAGCTGTTCATTCTGGCTCTAGAAGAGAACAGGAATTGCAGTCTACAACAGAAGGAAGCTTGTTGTGCAGAGGATCCAATACTGTATCTTTTGTGATCCCAACTGGAAATGACATTGTAAAGATAATGCAATATGGATTCAGCCAGATTTACTGGAGTATATTTGTGGACCTCATCAGCTTTTTCTCTTTAGCTCTTCTCTTTCTTCTTCTCTTTGCCTTAGTTCTTGTCTCCCGCAATATTCTGTGAATATATATTATAGGTCATCTTTTTGAGTAATTGTCAGTGTGGTTAACCCTTTCACTTTGTTACAGACTCTAAAGTGAGGCCCCCAAATCTCAGTGCTCAGCAAATAGACATCTCTCATCTCAACAAAAGACAGTACAGTGATCTCCTAGCTTATCAAGTGTGAGACTGAAATTCTGGCTTAATTCTTCAGGAAACTTCCTGTATGATTTTGTTGAACTTCTTTGTTTCTCCATTCCTCCACAATCCATTAGGAAAATGTCTGTAATAAATTTCTGTACCTGTAAGTGTAAGAAAGTTGTTCAGATCTGCTCATGAACTGTTTAGATATCATGGTAAAAGTATCCTGAGACTGTAAAAAGAAGAAATATGACAAGGTCTGGACTTTTGTGTGTCCTTCCTTAATTTAATTCTCAAGGAACGTTCTTTAGCCTATTTGGAATAATCAGTTCAAACCCAAAGATTTCCCAGCTTTCCTCATGAGGAGTATGAAAAAGAGGAAGTTGTTAATTTTCATGTACCTTTGTAAAGTTAAGACAAAGTTTTAAAAAAACAAAACAAAACCCATCTCATTATTATATAATTTTGAAGCATTGTAAATCAGAGTACTGACTGGTATTAACTCCACAATATGCATTAAATTCTAAGTTCCCTCTGTTTTTTGTAAAAATTGCACTTATGAAGGATCTAAACAGAATTCGTTTGCTTTGTAGGTGGTGGACTGTGCTTGGGACGAACTGGTCAAGATCTATACTCCATCATGTCTGGCAGTTCCTGTTTAGAGGAAAAGTGATGATCTCACACACCAGGAACCTTTCTCTCTTTCAGACTTGTGCTAAAGTGTCAACTGTATCACTAATCTTAGTGTCTCTTTTTAAGTGAAACTGCTTGAATGGAGTGTTGTGCACTTAAACATGTGGAGATTTTAGGGCTTGGTTTACTGTACGGGTAGTACTTGAACTAGCAAAATGTTTAACAGCCACTGAATGGCTGAAGAGTGGCCATAGCAGATATGAGTGGTGTCTTTAGAGTCAAGTCACCCATGCAGTTTTGTGATCTGTCTGGCTAATGATGAGAGCAGAGGCCTGAATCTTCTTGTTCGTTATAAAGAATAAAAGTAACTGGCAGTGTATTTTGATAATGTCACTGTAGAAAAGAAAAGAAAGGGGGGGGAAAGAAAAGAAAATAAAGGCTTTTTCACTGTAAAGTTTGTATCACTCAGATGCATTATATGTTTTGCTGTGACTCATGTTGCATTATTTTCTTTTGCAATATGATGAATACTCTTGATTGACAGTAAATGTTGTAGTTTATAGCCAGCTGATTCATTTGACCTTTCTGATTGCTGCTTCAAAAAGATGATAAAGATTATTTTCATATATTTTTTCTGTTAGATCTTCTTGAGTAAAACGGTTGATGAAGTTACGTAGAAAGATACTCTGATAATAGAGAAATGCTTAGGAAAAAAAAATGAAATATATACAAAACTAATTGGATGACAATCCTCAAGATTTAGAGATAGGGCAGCCATCTCTTCTATTAGACTTGTCTTTTATTTTCATTTAGGAGGTTTTTCCAAGAAGTAGAAGAGGAATGTGACCATATATTCAGTGTTTCTGGACCGCTGACAGCTCAGCCAAAGGGAGAGCTGATGTCCAGACCAACTGAACCTATATATATACATATATATATATATATATATATATATATATGTGTGTGTGTGTGTGTATATATATGTGTGTGTATATATATATATGTGTATATATATATATGTGTGTGTGTGTATATATATATGTATATATATATATATATGCAGATGAACTACATGACATAAACATAGCAGATCCAGCATGGCCAAACTATTACACATATTATAATATACCCAACATGTTATAGGTACGTTGAATACTTTGCATTCCCGTTTTGAGTCCTCAACCCACATACTGGTATTTTCATCTAAGTTTTCTTGGGCAAATAGAGATGTTCAGTTGTTACGCTTCCCCAGTCACCTTTGAATAGTCTTTTAGGATCCAACTGTGGTAGTACTGCAGTGCTCATTGGTATATGTTAGGCTTCTCTCCTGGTTTACTGCTAGCCTTTTTTTTTTTCTTTAACCTTCTTAAAGCCGTCTCCCTTCTGCTGTTAACCCACGTTAACATCAAAAGACTCTTTGCAGGTCAGGTCTTTGCAGATCTTTGGTCAGGTTTTCATAGTCTGCTGTTAATGAATGCTGTACACTTCTGGGTTGCACCACTCATAGATCAAGCAATAGCAGACACTTCCAGATCTGCTGGATGCTTTGAAGCAATGAAAGGAAGAATTCAGCTGAACTAAGACCTGAAGTTGCAGGGAAAGAATGATTCTTCTATCTTGGGGAAGGAGCTGGGGAACTAGCAGATATCCACAGGGGGACATTCATATATTGATTTGATGTATAGGACAGGACAGGGAGAAACTTTTTTCTACAACAGATAATTTGGATCCCAATAGGATCTTGTATTTTTCTGAGTCAGTACAAACTGCCCCCAAAATACCATCTTTTTGAGCTGAATTAATAACAAAAAGTTGATTTTCTTTTTTTTTGTAACATTGTGCTGCACCAAATCCCCAACATTTACTGCACTTTAATTCTTTGTGCTGAGGAATAATGCAGCAATAAAGCTGTGCTGCATGCAGCTTTCAGCAGTACCATGGACCATAAAATCTAATTTCAGGCATTAAAATTGATTATTTCAACTTCAATAGTTACTCCACTCTTCTGTTTTATCTCACTTTTCTGCTTTGACTTCAGCTTACTTGTCAAACTGGAACATTTTGGTGGTGAGTTAGTATTTCATATGCATGTTTCTGGGGGGACAGAGGGAGTGGGATATTCCAGAATGCTGCCATAGCATAGTTGGAAGGGAAAATTTAGAAAACCTAGTGCAGGGGAAAAAATAATGGAATTCTGAACATGCACACTTAGCACATAGATTAAACTTTTCCTCAACTGCCTTCTGTCCCCTCATGTCTAGTTAGCTTCAGTGCTGAGGGTTGCTGCATCCAGATTTAATTCTCTTGAAAGATGAGCACATCCAGAAGATGCACACAGTAAATAAAAACTGTGGCCTTTAGTCTTCCTGTGTGGTCTTTGAATGGAGAGAATGCGCTGTAACATTTCTGCACTGTAACAGAAAAAAAACAATCTGGCAATAGTTGTTGCTGATTCTTAATTCTCAGGGAATATTTGCTATAGTTGTTTTAAAGAAATAATTTTTATTTTATGACCAAAATATTAGCTTCCAATCTTTTTTTTTTTTTTGTCTACTGAAACATTGTTTAATGACAACAGTCTAAAAGATGTAACGTGTTCTACTTTTAAACTTGCTCCTGTGGAAGATTTTGGTTTTTTGGAGTCTGTGGGTTTCTCTTTGGTTCAAGAAATATACTGATTAACCAAGTTCTTAAAGAGTGGATTAAAGAGTGGATTTGTTGTTCTGTAATGCTATTAAATTAATTGCACACAGTATCTTTGGCTATACTCTTGTGTTCAATTCCCCAATTAAGAAATGTCAATCAAAAAGTAAATGCGGAGAAAGATACTGAGAGTATCTTGTAAGTAGAGTACTGTAATCATGGTTTATCTCTTGTATGAATACTGGGTGATGGTCACATTTTTCCTCTGTACTTCTAGGGACCATACTTTATGCAACTTTTCCTAGCTGTATGTCCCATCAGGTCTGCCTTTTGACAAAGGAAAGCTATTTTAAATGATTCTTTGTGTCTGCTTGTGCAGAGTATGTGACAGTGAAGAAGTGATCTCTTTCTTCTAGCCAAGTACAGTGCTGGCCTCAGATTTTGCTGCATAAGCACGAGTGTACTAACACCTTTCAGTAGTACTGCTCAGCTTTGAATGTGCTCAGGGTCGTGGGATAGGGAATGGATACAACTCTGCACAATGCTTCCCCAGGAGACCTCATGGTCAAAGCAAATTGTCCATTAAACATTTTGTATAGATCTTTACCATTTTCATCCAAGAAGCCATTTTAAAAAACCCTCTGCCCTTAGGAAGACACCAGTTTGCTCCAGGTATTTTTTTTCCTCTCACCCATTGTACTTAGGTGAAATGCAAAACTGAGCATAATTTTCATTAAAGGATTAGAGTTAAGGCATCATAATCATCTCTTTAGGATAAAAAACCACAGAGCGATTCATGACTATGATCTGTGCCCCACTGCTAGGCCAAAGTTGTGTAAAAGAGTCAATTTACGAAGTAGGCACCCACTGTTCTCTGGACACCAGAACAACTAGTGTAAGGGAAGTACCTTCACTGCAGTGTCACGTCAAATGACATTTCTCTGTTGCTTTATCCAATTCCTTCCCACTGAAGTGCAGGAAAAGACATTTTTTCTGACTCTGGAGTGGTAGAGAGGCCATGGTATTGAACACTGGATTCTGGCCTAAATCCGTGTTGAGAAAGGGATGGTTCAGCAAGGGACAACAACTTCCCCTCCACCTCCCTTTGCTATCTATACACAAGACTAATATTAGCAATACCATGAGAGATGTTGCAAGAGATGCTGCCCTTGCAACACAGATGAGTACCAAAAGTGGTACTTGGACACTTGAGTTTCCAAATTCAGCATTGGTGCAGCCTCACCTTGAGTACTCCATGCAGTTCTGGGCACTACAATGTAAGAAGGATGTGAAGGTCCTTGAATGTGTCCAGAAGAGGACTGCAAAGCTGGTGAAAGGGTTGGAAGGCATATCCTGTGAGGAGAGGCTGAGGACTTTGGGCATGTCTAGTTTGGAGAAAAGGAGATTGAGGTGTGACCTCATCACTCTCTGCCACTTCCTGAGGAGGGCAAGCGGAGAGGGAGGTGCTGATCTCTTCTTCTTGGGATACAGTGATAGGATGCATGGGAATGGTTCAAAGACACACCAGAGGAGGTTCTGACTGGACATTAGGAAGCATTTTCTTACCAAAAGGGTAGTCAAACACTGGAACAGGCTTCCTAGAAAAGTGGTCAATGTCCCAAGCCTATCAGTGTGCAAGAGGCATTTGGACAATGCCCTTAACAACACGATTTAATTTTTGGTCAGCCCTGAACTGGTCAGGTAGTTGGACTAGATGATCATTCCAGATTCCTTACAAGTGAGATAGTCTGTTAAAATTTTTATGCTTCTGTTTGTTTTTCTGTTTCTGTCAGAGAAGTATGAAGTCCCCAAAGCAGATTCGCAGCCTGATACTCTGCAATGTCAAGAGACTCACTTCTCTAGCAGTAATTTCACTGGGGAGGGGACTAAATTTTTTCTTCCAGAGGTTAAGCTTAGGTGGAGTCCAGATTACTAGAGTATTTCCAGAAAGAACAATTAGATTTTTTTTCCATCTGCACTCATTTGGCAGAAGGAGCTTTTTTCCTCCCATGTGCAAACACTGTCACGGTGATCCACACGTTCCTTTACATTGTGCTACATGTGGGCTCAGGGTGAGTCCAAATGGAGGCTGGTGTAAATGTGTTGGCACATTTCTTCAGTGGGTTCTGAAGCCAGACTTGGACTCCAGTACCTATGGTTTCCTTTCCCTCATTACCAATTTTCATCTTCAGACACTCATACTCAATGTGTACTTTGTTTCATTTTATAAACCTTGCCCTGCCTCCTATCCCCTGCCTGTACCAACTCTACTGCTAGTTCTAACCCGGGAAAGTTGTAACACATCCTCTTTGGTGTGACTGATCTCTGTGACCACTGAGAGCTCATTACTGTGCCCAGCACTAATCCTGGGCATACACAGCTGCTCCCGGCTCAGACAAAAAGACCAGTGCTGTGGGTCCCGTGTGCTCTTTTTACCACTCCTCCATACTAGCGTGCTCATTTAGTGCACACTTGCTTGCTTGGCATTCCAAACACCTGCCCTACTCTTACTGGGAACTGTTGGCATCAGCACCCCTTTCCTGTGATTGCTACAGGTCTTACCTAACACCAACCTGTACAAGAGTTTCCAGGGAAATGGCTGGGAAGAAGGACAGCTGGCTTTGGAAGCTGGGAGTATCTAGTGAGGTCTGGGAAATGAACTAAGACTGAAATACAATATTTTTCTGCAGAAAACTCACAGAAAATAGTTATGCCTTTTTAATACTGATGAAATGCATGGGGTGCTTGTGCAAAGTTCTGTACAAGCCCACAAGAGCTGGCAATCCTTGTCAGGATCTGCCCCAATCTTTTTATGGCAAGTCTTCTGAAAACAAGCTTTGGGTATCAAGTGTGCCATTTTTTCCCAAGCTGGCTCTTCCTAATATTGTTCCCATGAAGAGGCAGGAGGCTGGTTTTGTTTAAAATAAAGAATAATTTTGCTAATCTCATATTGATGAGTGAAAGGCATTCTTACTAGTGAGAGAAACCTAACATGTATAATGTTAAAAGAAGGCTCAAGATTATAAGGCAGCTCTGAATAGAAGTATAGTTTTTAATTCCCTTGCATTGCCTGACACTTCTGGAGACTGGTAGAGAGAACTGCTTTTGCTTTTCCTCAGAATCGAGGTGGTCTATTGCAGTCTCTTATTAAAACCTTAATCTGGCAAGTCGAGAGAAAGAGTCAGTTTATTTAAACTTTATGATGCTTTAATACATCAATTTCAAAGACTTTGTGTGGTTGCCAGTTTTTAGTGACTTCTCAAGGAAAATCCCCCTGCAAGAACCCGTTTCTTCCTGCTTTCTTAGCAGCCGTTCCCCTCTCTCCGACGTCCCCTGCCTGAGAAGGGGTTCCCTTGGACAAGCCGGGCGCGGCCGGGACCCCGACGCGGGGAAACGGGGGCTACGGGACGAATGTTGCCGGTATGCTCGATGCATGCTTTTTCCTGGAAGGCCGTATAATTTTGAGGAGAAAGAAGCGGTACCCTCCTGCTTGTGCACGCGGAGGGGAAGCTGCACTGATCTCCCCGCTCCGAGAGACGTGAGGTTTCCGACGGGTCTTTCACGTTATTTTGGGGCCAGAGGCACTCCGCCGCGGAGCTGCGGGCACCCTGCAGTTATCCCCGGGGGGAAAGCACCGCGGTGCCCGCTACCGCTGCACTCCCTCCTACACCCGACCGGGTTCGGGAGGGCTTGCGGGCGGCGGGGGGTCTTTCCCACTCCCGCTGAGCCAGGCGTGCTCCGGGAGACACCGCGGGGCGAAGCTGCGGGGACACCGAGGGCGGGGAGGGCGGAATGGAGGACACCGAGAGCGGCGGCGCAACGACACCTGGGATGGCGGGGGTAACACGGGGGACGGGAGGGACGGGGAGGGGCACGCGAGGAGGGAGGACACGTAGGGGGCGGCGCGGGGGGGCACGTCGGGGGGGGTGGCTGCCCTGCCGGAGCGCGTCGCTGCTCCCCCGCCCCCCGCCTCCTCGCCCCGTCCCCAGCGCCGGCCGCCGCGGCGGGTGGCCGGCGGGTGGCCGGGCGGGCGCAGAACCGCGGGCCCTGGCGGCGGGCCCGTACGCGGGAGGATGCCTCCGGTGGCGGGGCCGGGCGCGGGGCGTCGCGGTGGCGGTGGCGCACGGGCTCTGCTCGGGCTCGCTGAACATCCTGCTGAAGTTCCTGCTGGCCCGCTACCACTTCGCTTTCCTGACGCTGCTGCAGTGCCTCAGCAGCGCGCGGGCGGCGCTGGGGCTGAGGCGCTGCGGCGGCGGGGGCTGGGGCGCTGCGCCCTTCGGGCTCCGCCTGGCGCGCCCCTTCGCCGCCGTGGCGCCCTTGGCCACCCTGCATCCCACCCTCACCCTCTGTCCCTGCGCGGCTCAGCCTCCCCATGTACGTCGTCTTCAAGCGCTGCCTGCCCCTCGTCCACTCGTCACGGCGCCCTGGTGCTCCGCGAGGCAGCCTCGCCCGGCGTCCCTCGAGTCCTCATCACTGCGCCGCGCCGCTGGCCATAGCCCGCGACGCACCCACGAGGGGGACGGGGCGGAACCGGGATGCGGCGGACGGGCGAGCGCGCGCGCGCGCGAGCGCTCGCGACGGGCCCCCCCTGAGGGAGCACGGCCGCTCCGGCTCGGGTTTCGGGGGGACGAAGGAGGGCGGCGGGGGAAAGCCGTGAGGATACGGCTGGTGTGCAGTCCTGGGGGGACAGCTGCGACCCCACGGGGGCAGGTGCAGCCTTGCAGGGATGGATGATTGGTACATTCTTGCAGGGCTCGGTGCATCCTTATGGGGATCGGTGTAAACCTGTGGTCCCTTTCTAGGGAAGGTGCAGCCTTATGGAGGGATGCGTAGTCTTATGGGAAGTGGGTGCACCTACAGGGGTAGATGTAATGTTCTGGGGGCAACTACAAGCCCATGGGGGCAACTGCAGCCATACTGCAGTAGGTGCAATCTTACAGGGGTAGATGCAAGCTTAGGGGTCAGCTGCAACCCTCTGAGGCCAGGAGGACCCATGTTGCTTTCCAGCCGAGGTGTAGGTGGGCTAGGAAGCAAAGCTGGTACTCTGTGCTCTGGCAGCACTCCTGAGGGCTGTCCCAGGGAACAGAGCACACGCACAATGACTAGTTTAATATGCAAAGAGGTCTGATGGGGCTCAGAAGGGAAGGTCTCGCTTCAGGGACCCCACAGGGGTCTGTTGCTAGAGGGTGCAGAATGGCCAGTGAGTTGGAGGGTAGGCAGCCTGGCCGGCCAGAGCTGGCAAGTGTCTGCGCTGGCAAGAGGACATTCAGGGTTGCTGTGTGTATGTGCGGTTTCAGCTACAAATCTCCCACAGTGTCTTCACAAAAGGGAGAAAACAATCTGATTTTGACTGTGGGATTTAGGGGGGGCATGAAAGACATTCAGTAGGTTTGCAGCTTGAAAAAAAAGAAAATGAGATATCTGCTGAGAGGCAAGTGTGTCCAGCCTTGGGACAAGCATGACAAGTCCTAGGAGTTATGGAAAGTGCAATGATGTCTATTTCCTAAATATCCCTCTAGTCCAAAACAGTGCTCTCTTTCTGTCTCACATGCAAAATGCATGCTTATTTCTCTCTGTGACTCTCCTGACAGGAGCTGGTGACCTGACTGGGGATGCCATGGGCTATGTGACAGGCGTGCTGGCTGTGCTGATACATGCTGCCTACCTGGTGCTCATTCAGAAAACCAGTGTAGACAGTGAATATGGACCCCTGACAGCACAGTACGCCATTGCTGTTTCGGCCACACCTTTTCTCATCATCTGCTCCTTTGCCAGCATGGATTCCATCAATGTCTGGTCCTTCCCAGGGTGGAAGGACCCTGCCATGGTATGCATCTTTATTGCCTGTGTCCTGATTAGCTGTGCCATGAACTTTACCACCCTTCACTGCACTTACATTAACTCGGCTGTGACCACCAGCTTCGTAGGGGTGGTGAAGAGTATAGCCACCATCACGGTAGGCATGGTGGCATTCAATGATGTGGAGCCCACAAGATTATTTATAGCTGGTGTTGTGGTCAATACCTTGGGGTCTGTCATTTACTGCGTGGCCAAGTACATTGAGACCAGACGGCAGAGCAATTATGAGGACCTGGAGAAAGAAGCTAGAGAAGAGGAGGGGAAAAGGCAGGCTGGGGACCAAGCTCTGTTTGCCATGGAGGCAGTTTCCCAGGGGAAGGGGGCTGAGGAAGCACCAGTGGAAGGATCAGCCACAGGGGACAGCCAGAGCGGAGAGGAAGAGAAGGACATCACTGAGAAGTCTGCCAAGACACCTGTGCTCCAGGGAAAATTCACCATCACACAAGAAGTGAACAGGAGCTCGCTGAAAGAAGCCTATCTTGGAGTATGGAGGTTGGTGAGGGGTGCTAATTATATAAAGAAGGATTATTTGATAGAAAATGAAGAGCTACCAAACCCTTAAAAAGCAGGTTTGAAAACTATTTCTTGAGGACAGACACCTGGTTCTCTGTACAGGGGAAAGGCAGAGCATACATTTTACATCAACGCTTACAAATCCAAATCATGCAGGATGACTTTACCTCATTGTCAAAAAGCAAAAGGTCATAGTTTGCTCATGCTTTGGGCTTGCTTTCAACTGCTTTCAGTACATCACTTTAGTCCCACCTCAGCTAAGGTGTGGAGTCCTCTGCTGCAGACACAGAGAGAGAGTTGGGAAGTCATGGGGTGCTTGCCCAGCAGCCTGGGCTATGAGGGACATCAGCACCACTGAGTTAGTCGGCAGTGCCAGTGACACAGCAGTGGCCTAGAACTTAGCTTGTGTCTGGAGCCTTGTGATTTTAACACATTCGGAGGCTCTGTCAATGTGCTTCCATGTCTATATCCATCCAATTATAGGTACTCTATATAAATATATTCCTACAATATAGACTCCTGTTAACTGTACTTTTTTGTGCTCCTCTATGTCAATACGATTGCAGCAGAGCTAGAGGTTGTACCAGTTAAGTTATATTGGCATAAAATCACCCTCTTAACTGAAGAATTGAAACTCTCCAGGCTGAGACTTGGACCTGGTTTAAATTGGGTACTTTGTGTCTTCAGTATAAGTACTTTTGTCTTGTGGTGGTGTACATGAAAGCAGAACCAGATCTGAACGTCTAAGAAGCTTTGATTAGCAAAAGAAGGATGTTTATCTACGAGCTTTAACTACACATAGCGTTGGGAATATTAGCTTGACTCAAATAAAAGAGTTTGGAAATGTTACGTGTTGATTGGATTTGAGATGGCTATAAAAAAATTAGGGACAAAGTGTGTGCCTTCTGTCATCCCTCCCTGTACCCTAAAGTCAGGTGAATCAGAGCCTGGGCTGGAACCTAGGAATCCTCTCCATCCATTCTTTCATAAGCAGAGGCTGATAGCAGAACTGGGGACACCAGCTCTCCGGAGTTCCCAGGGATGCTTTTGCAGGACAGTGCTTCTATATCCTGGCCGTGTGTTGGTACATGGCTTTGTGCATATGAGCCCTTGCTGTCCCTGTGCTGTGTTGTCCAGTGGAAGGAAGCGTGGACAGGCAGGCGAGAGCTGCAGTGTGCTCCAGCAGATCCCATGGCTGAGCGCTTGTGGGTCAGGATGCTCAGCGCGCTCAGCACCAGGATGTCCATGGCTTTCGTAGAAGCAGCTCCCCAGTGCCCACACTGTCCCTGTGGGCTGTGAGGGACAGAGCTGCCTCTACCCCCAGCCACTCAAGTGCTCCTGTGGAAAGTGTGAGGCAGACACTTCAGTGAGGCCTCTGGTGAATGTGGTAATATTTTGTCACACATCTGTTTAACTGAAAGGACCATGGAAACAAATGTTCGAGTGTTTCTTAGCCTGGGGATATCCTTTTGGTAGGTGGAGGTACTTGCATGAAACCTTTGCTCAGACTAGAGAGAGAAAAGATTGGACACTCAGTATTTCTCATCCCAAAAGGGTGTCATGGTCATTGGGGCCATCTTGACCACAGACTGAAACAAGCTATTATCATCTCCTGAAAAAATGAACCAAGTTTGTTGTTGTTGTATTTAATATTGTTATTGTTGTTGTTAATAATTATTTATTATAATTTATTAAGCCACTGAACTGAAAATCAATTATTCCCACAGCCCTAATTAATCTGTGCCTAGTCCAATGCTCTCTCAAGCTGAGTAGGCAGCATTAGCTCACAGCACATTCAGCACTGGAGTCCAATGTGAGCAATTTGCCCAGCAGGGAATATTTGCAAAACTGCTCTCTGGGGGAGCTTTAGATTCTTGTCAATAAATGCAGGCAGAAACATCAGGTGCTGTGACAGTATGTTTTCTGAGCCAGTGCAGAAGCTGGCTGACCTGGCATCACCCATGGATTTTGAAAGAGATGTCCATAAAGACATTTAGGCTAAAAGCCTGTAGCTGCTGAGCTGGAGGACAGGGCATGGAGATCTGTACATCACAGGTTGTGTACAGTTTGTGTTTGAGAGTTGAAAGACGCTGGCTGGATGCCAAAATACATTTACTTTCTGTACAAGCTCCATATGGGATGTTTTCAATAAAAGCACTATTTATTGTTTCTAGGCTAATATAATAGGGCTTTTGTTAGTTTTTCAAATGCATCCTAGACTAAAGACACTTGTGCCTATGAATTATAGTTGCTGTATTACTGGACTCATTATGATATTGAACTGCATTGTAATCATACAGATGGCTGGAGAGAAACCCACGTTTCTAATCTGTCCTCACTGTGCTCAGTGTTTTCTGTCCACAAAAAAATGTGGATCTTTTTACCACCTGGATACAAGTCTTAGATCCTGTAGTGCACACTCCCATGTTTGACATGTGCTGTATGAAGCTCTTCCCCTGGACTCCTGTTTCAGGAATTTTTCTCAGGGGGAGTAAATGTTTTGCCACTTACTGTTGTTGAATTATTCTTAGGAATCTGTGGAAATTCAAACAGTTTTGATTATTAAAAAAGCTGCTGTTACAATGTTGTACATTTGCATGTATAATCAAAAATGTGATTATATTGTATTCTGTTTATACGTGTAAATTCCCTAAATTAAAATGGGAATTTGGCAAATGCAATCCACTTTTTCAGTAACAGACGCTGTCACACAATAAAATAAAAATACTGCCTCGTGCTGAGGTATTTTAATGGCATCAGCGGAAGACTGCAGAATGAGATGTGGGAATAAAATGCATTGCTTTCCAAAAGCCTTCTGGTTTTCTTATTGTTGCTACTCCAGGGTGCTCATTTTTGGTTCATTTATAGTTATTCTTGTGCCTTTATACCATCCAAGTTTTCTCAACATGTGACCACATGCTATAAATACCGTTATGGACAGAGGGACTAAGAACAGAAAAAAGGAATACAGGAATTTGAAGTGCTGGGCCCTCTGTACAGCTTGAAGTTTCTGTGGTTCTCAACAGTGATTTCTTTGGTTACCTATTTAAAATGATTTAGTGTCACTGGCGTAACTGCGGTAACTTTAGAATAAATAAAAGTAAGATGATGCTCATAATTAATAGTTCTATTATAAAGTCACTGTATTATAAAATAACAATATTTATTTATCAATGTTAAGTATTTGTATTACCAACTATGTCACATGGCAACCCTAGGAGATGACTTAAGCATTAACTTTTATCTTTTTGCTTCAAATGAAAGGTACATAATGAGCCTGTGGCTGAAACTGAGTTGTGTCAGAGCAGGCTGCAGTTGGTGATTATTACCAAATTCATCTTAGAGCTCCACACAAATGTGCCTCCAGGTTGATTTAGAGAAAGAAACTGTCCTTGTTACCAGATAATAAATGAACCTGATGCACAATGACCGCTTTGAGAATAAACATGAATTTCAGTGTCAACATATCCTCGAGTAACACCTGCTATAGCACTCTTAGATCTTCAGGTAGACGCACAGACATGCGCACAAATACACATGCAATAGGACAGCAAAAGCCAAACTGGCTTGTCTTTTCTGAAATAATTTTTTTTCTCAAAGAAATTAAAGAGAGGACAGACTATTTGTAGGCAGGTGCAGTTAAAATTTCTAAGGATAAATTCAAAATTTCATACACTGCCGACAAACTAATCTTGCATTTGCCATCACTTCCACAAGAAAAATATACAACCTACAGAAAAACATCTGAGAGTGAAAGAAACTTTACAGTTTATTAAGCAACACTCCAGAGTCCTGTGTATGTCCGGGGATAGTTTACTGCCAGTGCTTAACAACCTCCTGTAATTCGATTACGTCTGTTTGCTGCAAAGGCTTCAGGAGGCAGAAAGGTGCAAACCCCTCAGCTCTGGTCTCTAAATTAACATTTGAGCATTTTGCTGCTTATCATGGTGAAGGCTTAACACCTTAACCCTCTCTGCCTGTGTCCTGTATAATTTCACATATCGCTTTGAGGTTTCTTCTGTGTATTTTTGAACTGAAGTGCTGTGCAGGCAATTGACTCTGCGTCTCAATTAGCTGCTATATTCATGAGTCAGTAGCTTGTTGGAGGCCATCAGGAAGCCTTTCGCTTCAACCTCTTTCCTGTCAGGAATTGATGAGCATGCACAACCCTCCTTTCTCTTTCCTTGTTCTCAATGTTTTTTTTCAAATCTTGTTTCCAGTGCCCATCCTGAAAACTGCTGCCAGTGGTGAAGGACTTGCCACAGAGACTTCTGCTATGGTTTTGGGTTTTTTTGTTTTTGTTTTTTTTTGTTTTTGTTTTGGTTTTGGTTTTGGTTTTTTTTTATTAGAAGGGCAGGGAAGGATTGGACCAGAGGGAACTTGTATGACCAGATTTCTTCTTGCTACCTTTGTGCATGTTTCTGCCCACCAGCTCCCTGCATACCAGCTCCCTATATAGCTCAGATGTGGCTGTGTACCAGCTTCTTGTGGAGCTGGGCCGGGCCTGCGTACCAGTGTCCTGCAGAGCTGGGCTGTGCACAGGACAGACGCAGGAGTGAGGGCTCTCACTCTGCCAGCCAGCCAGCACTGAAATCTGGTTGTGCATGCCAGTGTGGATATTTATTATACACATAAAACCAGAAGGAGATTTTTTCGCAGTAAGAACATTTTAAGTAATAAGGCTATAAACCTGCTGTTAAGCAGCTGGTTTTTATTATAGGTGGAGACTTAAGAAAGCCAGTCACACTGCAACGGTAGACATTGTACTTGCAAAGTAGAGAGACCATCTGAGAGAGTGGCAGAGAGCATGAAAACAGTGCTCAAAGTACCTGGAATGGGATAAAGGTAGATGGGGAGAATATGTGAATTACAAATTAGGATGAATGGGGAATATGTGATAGATTGTAGGAAAGCAAATGTTCTTGCATGAAGGAAAATAGCGACAGCATTAGAAACCTGTGGCCAAACAATACAGTGAACCTGCAGTGAATAAACTTGAATTTGGGGCCCTGAAAGAGCAATACATATGAAGGACAGAGGCAGAATGAATGACCTGGCTGGCGGAAAGACGAGTGTATTTGCTTTTTGTGGTCCTGTGATTTTTTCCTTATTGGACAGTTGTGGGAAATTTTGCTCTGGACACATTAAGTTTATTAATAAGTTTGTCCTTTATCAAGTAAAAGCAATGCCAGTTCTGTTCTCAAAATTACAGCACTTTTTATAATTAGCTGCTATTGATTTTGTTCCTGACAGAACAAGATTTCAACAATTCTTTAACAGAATTCAGGATTTCTCTGAAAAAGAGC